GCCCACCGCACCGATTGTTTACCAAACCCCTCTGAAAAGATACCTTTTCTTGGGAAATATTAGAGACCAAATATACTGCTGCACAAAAACATCTATATGCTTTCGTAAGGCAACGGCTGCAAGCTACGTTTGGAACTCGACCCTGGTGTGCAAAATGTGCGGGACAAAAACAACCAGACACAAATCATTTCCGCTTGTTACGCACTACTCTTGAGTCCACGTCACACCATCTTATTCAGCGCCCAAACCACTGATGTTGGCAGCAATTTCCGGATTTAGTCTACAAAATACTCAGAGTTTATGGCACTTAGCCTGGTCAAAATACTGGACAAAACAGGAACCACCCCAGTTCTTGCTTAAAGAAGACTAAGAGCCATCTGAGACTGTTCCACAAATTTGCTCCAAGGATTTAGATATATCGCGGGACACTTGCACTTCACGGCCTCCAAAGTAAGCAACAGTTTTATGCATCTAGCTAACAATGAGTTTTAGGAGTGTGCAGGGGGTTGAAGGAATGAAAGATACATTATATAAGAGGTAGCTCCACGCTCTGGGTCTACTCCAAATACCGGAGACAACTGTGGTGTAGAAGCTTTATTAGTGCCAACATCAAATTCAGGAATTCTCGCTCAAATGACGCGATCAACGCAAAACATGGGCAAAAAATATAACAACCGCTGTGGGTTAACTTCTAATGAAAATGTGACGTCACCTGTTGTTTAGTAGATAAAACTTCACCAAAGCATTGAGTGGAGATACTTGCACTAAGCACTTTTGACGCCTTTAATCAGTGCGTGCTAGAAGCCGTGTCTCAAAACCAGTCTTTTTGCACAGTATAAACCCATTAAGCTCTTTGTGGCCAGATAAAAGTCATCCAAAAGATCTGGAAGAAAGATCGATAAAGCATTTTTAACTCACACCTTCTTGGCCACTCGGCAAAAGTTTTTTGCCTGAAAAAAGTGACTGAACCTACAGAACTGGTGGTTTCTTATGTCCCAGCAGCTACAGGTCTAGTGATTGCATTTGTGCATCTTGCATGGTGGCAGAAAGCGTTCCTGTGGCGGGTCATTCTCAATCACCTCACAGCTGGATACCGGATATTTCCGACGCAACACATGTTCCTTTCCCACCGTTCTTGCTAACAAGCAATTTCGTATTCAAGAGCAGTCTGGCGCAAGCTAATATAAGAAAACCGTATCAACTACCACATCTTTCAACTGCTAAATCAAGTTTCCCACGTCACACTGTTTTAAACATCAAATTATATGAAATGAAAGAATTTTTAAGCCAACTCAAGTAATGCGTTTAAGCAAAAGTTTAATTAACTTGCCTTTTGTCACCGATCTCCGTTGGAGTCTTAAAACTTCATCCAAGAAGTACCTTTTTTACTGATCTAAGTTCTTGACTTTCGCTTCTCTTTTCCACTTTCTGGATCTACTTTATACGGGCAACTAAAGTTCCTGAGTTACATTTCAGTTGATTTGAAGTAAATTTTGGCGCAAAAGCAGTAGTCTCTGGAGTGGTTTATTCTGCTGAATGCCAGTTTCACCAAGTTGGACTTGATGAAATCCTTTACCGTTCAAATTGAACGTAGATCGCAAGATATGGTGGAACCCAAAATCAGAATTACTTAATTATCTGGCTACGTTCCAGTGCATTTTTCTTTTCCTATCCTAGCTAATAGGCCTAAAAGGCACATGCATATTTTCCCCTTAGTGAACGCAGCACTCGTAATGGATCAAATTTACAGGCTAGAACTACGGCGAACAGACGGAACATCTCAAACCCATTGAATTTTGAGACGTATATTAACGTACTGGGACTAAATTTTAACGGGCGTAGGTTGGGTCACTAAGGTTAAATAATTCAAGCGACTGCCTACTCAGATTTTTATAGCGACCAAAACTAGTAAAATGCCAGGACAAAGAGCTTGGAACATTTGATTCGACCACTACGATGGGGAAAAAATGGGACGGTCACTGTCCTCCGTGTACCAATGAAGAGTCAATATTACCACCCCCGAAAGCCTGCTGACCTTGAAGCACGCTTAGAAATCAGTGATCCCTGTTTTCAAGAATACCAACGCCTCCAACACTACCTGGTACTTATCTACATCAACCAAGGTCTTTTCGGCTAACTTTTACCCCCGCCTCTATTAATCTACGGAGGATACAAGATAAGAAAGTTGTATCACTTGTAAACTGCTGTTTTTCTTGCCCAATTTCGTCTCTTTTCTCCATGTCAATATTAGTCACGTTATTCTACAAAGTTTGTTTTGATGAAATACACAACAAGTCCCCGCATCTTGGGCTCACTTGGACTTTACGTCTTTTTCTGGGTGATTGTTACTGCGACCAGTGGTTGAACAATATTGGCTATCATTAATTTTCAACGTGAACAAAAATTTTAGTTGTACACAGTGGACCTATTTATTCACATCAGTGGGTTAATGTTTCGTCCATCAGAGATATGGAATACCAGAAAAACGAATCTCTCGCTTTGTGGTGCAAATTGTGTCAACATTTCCTTGGATTGTCTTTCTTGCGACATTACCCCTGGCTTTCATTTATAGTTTTCTCTGTTCAATAGAGACTCCTTAGGATTCTTGACCACTACAGGTTAGAATGCTTACTTCAGGCAACAGTTTTTATCATGCCAAGTAGTAGATGCGTAAAATAGCTTTTTCCCTGCAATTATCAATGTAGCATCCAGTATCTCTGGTCAATCATGTCCAGTTGCTGCTTTTTATGAGTTATCCTGCGCGTTAGCTATATGTAGCTGAGACTTCTAGAGGGGGTTGCATTATTTTTCCACTTGTACTTTTCCATGAACCTATCGATTGATCTTACTCAGCACTATACCAATCGAACAGAATATAGGCTTCCTTTGGGTAAAACATAATCCTGATACAATTGAGCAACAAAATGCGATCTTAAGTGCATATTTTCCCCGAAAATGTCGGGGTTTGGTAGACCTGGATTGGTGGAAAGCATCTGAGCTACGACATTTTCTTTTGTACAAGATTTTCACATCCCAACGTTTACAAATGCCTCATGTATTTTTCATTAAACATCTTTACAGACTGTTTACCTTTTTTCACAACAGTATTCTGATTTTCTAATTGATGTTTACAAGGTTGCTGTTCCTAAAGTTGCTGCCAGTTTTGGATCAAACCATCTAGTCTACAACATACAGTTGTTCTCCCATTTGGTTAGTTTCGTCAAGCTCTACGGTTGCTTTATTCGTTTTTCCTGTTTCCTCTATAAATCAGAGTTGGGGCATTTAAATCCTTACACACATGTGCCGAAACCACCGGTTGTTTAGCTGTACCACAGATTGACCGAGCGCGTCAAAATGGATGCAGTCAAAGGACGGAGGTTTTTGGATAATGTTGGTTTGCCACTGAGGTCACCAGCCAGGAGTGGAAGTCGGAGGTTTGTGCACACAGTTCTCACCTTCTCGAAAAACTTTCCCAACAATTGCATTTTGCTTGACGGTCAACCCACTGTCGTAGATTTTTCAGAGGAGACTAAATTTTGTAACAAAAACATGTTTTTCAACCATGTACGCTATTTTGATTTTCGAGGACGACTCCGTTGAGATGGCGCATGAATCGTGGTTCGTACCACCTGATTCAGTTCTTCGGCCCTCATGCACGACAAGTATTCTATATGCTAACTTGCTGGAAGGCAGCCTTTCAAAGTGTCCACTGAAGTCGTGCACGCACGAAGTATTCCGGCGTTGCAGTAAGTTCATGTTCATTTCATTTTTTTTTTGGAAACTTTTGTCAATGTACTAAGTGCCTCTCAAGAAGCCCCTAAATTAGGACATACTTCCTTCGCAGAGCAGCACGATGAAGAGCTCGTACAGGCATCTAAGCGCAAATATTTTTTCGTCATTCGTATTTCGACGGTTGCAGTAAAAATACAGCTGCCGTCTGATTTTACAGACGGATTGGATAATGGTTCCGCCTTGTTTGCAAACGTAACCACAAGCACACAAGCTCCAAAAAGACTGTGCGTTCCTCCAGCACCTACTAAATTCTCAATATATTAATCCCTTACCTTTAGATGTACCAATCAAACGTCCTTGGACACTAGTATCATTACCGTTTCTGACGCGTCATCCGGGTGATGCCCCGATGATATGTGGAACGTACGTTTTATTTTGTTACGACCATCTAAGTTCTAACAGCAGTTCCGAGTATACAACACTTCCTGCCGCAGGCAATCAAGAACCACGTAGTTCGACGCCGCCTCTCAGGTTCTTTTTTACATGCTATGTGCTTTATGTTTTAGAACAAACCCTCCAAATTCCAAGGGCAAGGTAATTTCCAAAGACCTGGCCAAACTCATGCTTAGTGATCAAATTACCATGTATTAACTCAACTATGTTATAGAGAATTTTGAGCGGATTTAATCGTTGCTGCAGAAACTGCATATCAAACCGGATGCTTCAGTACCTACAAGAGTTCTCAGACACTCAGTGAACCTCTTCTACTTCTGTCATCCATGAATGAGCTCCGCAGGTACAAAGAACACCTCAGAGATAGTCCGAGGTATGCAAAAATGGCAAGTACTTGCCGTAGTCACGATTACTGATTTCACAAAGGTGAAAAGGTGGCTCCTGCACGAGGCTCGCGATGCACAACTGTGCTTAACTAACATACTTACATAAACTTTTTCGTTACAGACGTGACAACTAAAAAGTTTCCAAACATTAATTACGGCAAATCAAGGGAATCATTCTTCGCTGGCTAGAAAATGAACGGTAGAAATTTCGGAAACGCCTGCAGAGAGCCACCAAGAATGGCAAGTGACCCCCTGTAATTTTTTACTTGATTCATATGAAAATTTGTACTTGGTAACACGTATTAATATCCGGGAAGGTAATATGCTGAGGAAAAGTGTGAGGGTAGATATGTTATCACGGCACGGGAGCATAGTGCTTAGAAAGTTAGTGAAATGTACTAGGGGAAGAAATAAATGCTTATAATGGGCTAAATGTGTGCTCCGGACGAATTTATCCAAGTGTGGACTGAGTGAAGAAATTTTGATGCTGAGTAGGGATTTTCCTTACCCGGGTACGGACTGGGTACGGTAACCAGTTTCATTTCCGCTCTGGGTCCGTATCCGGGTAGAGATCTGCCGCAGAAATTTCTGCACCAAAGCTAGCTGAGTACTGCTTGGCATCCATATCGTCAGACAAAATGTCGAGACATTATAAGTCACACTTCTTTTGCAATAAACTCAAAGAAGGAACTGATACAGGCCGGATTTTCCTCAAAATGAAGGTTCCGGGTTTTTGAACAGGAAAAAGTTTACCGATTGTGGAAACATATGCATCTAAAGACGCAGTAAACCTCTGATTTAGATGAAATAGTTTTTCTCAAAGAAAAATCCAAAAAAGACAGAACACAGAAAGAACAACTCACCCAATTTCTTCCGAATCCCCAATTATAAATGATACAAAACGTCGCCAAAGATCGAAACATTTCTGGGGGTTGGCATCATTATTCTAATAAGCCCAAACCTTTTTTTCTAAGGGTGCACGTTGGTCGTTCATTTCACTACTTTACTCAACAATCCTGTATGCGTGTTTCGGTTACTGCGCATTAAGTCATAAATGCCGTCAAAAGACCGCCTTTCAAGGTCACCAACATCCCAACAGGCTTTCACCAATCTCATGGAGACACGGATTCACGTATCGCTACACATGATTGAGGCTTTAGCCTAAGTTCTCCGGGTCGGTTTTGTTCCTGTCATTCAGCGGCTGTCGTTCGCCTGGAAAGTGTGAACCTCTTCTACTTCTGTCATCCATGAATGAGCTCCGCAGGTACAAAGAACACCTCAGAGATAGTCCGAGGTATGCAAAAATGGCAAGTACTTGCCGTAGTCACGATTACTGATTTCACAAAGGTGAAAAGGTGGCTCCTGCACGAGGCTCGCGATGCACAACTGTGCTTAACTAACATACTTACATAAACTTTTTCGTTACAGACGTGACAACTAAAAAGTTTCCAAACATTAATTACGGCAAATCAAGGGAATCATTCTTCGCTGGCTAGAAAATGAACGGTAGAAATTTCGGAAACGCCTGCAGAGAGCCACCAAGAATGGCAAGTGACCCCCTGTAATTTTTTACTTGATTCATATGAAAATTTGTACTTGGTAACACGTATTAATATCCGGGAAGGTAATATGCTGAGGAAAAGTGTGAGGGTAGATATGTTATCACGGCACGGGAGCATAGTGCTTAGAAAGTTAGTGAAATGTACTAGGGGAAGAAATAAATGCTTATAATGGGCTAAATGTGTGCTCCGGACGAATTTATCCAAGTGTGGACTGAGTGAAGAAATTTTGATGCTGAGTAGGGATTTTCCTTACCCGGGTACGGACTGGGTACGGTAACCAGTTTCATTTCCGCTCTGGGTCCGTATCCGGGTAGAGATCTGCCGCAGAAATTTCTGCACCAAAGCTAGCTGAGTACTGCTTGGCATCCATATCGTCAGACAAAATGTCGAGACATTATAAGTCACACTTCTTTTGCAATAAACTCAAAGAAGGAACTGATACAGGCCGGATTTTCCTCAAAATGAAGGTTCCGGGTTTTTGAACAGGAAAAAGTTTACCGATTGTGGAAACATATGCATCTAAAGACGCAGTAAACCTCTGATTTAGATGAAATAGTTTTTCTCAAAGAAAAATCCAAAAAAGACAGAACACAGAAAGAACAACTCACCCAATTTCTTCCGAATCCCCAATTATAAATGATACAAAACGTCGCCAAAGATCGAAACATTTCTGGGGGTTGGCATCATTATTCTAATAAGCCCAAACCTTTTTTTCTAAGGGTGCACGTTGGTCGTTCATTTCACTACTTTACTCAACAATCCTGTATGCGTGTTTCGGTTACTGCGCATTAAGTCATAAATGCCGTCAAAAGACCGCCTTTCAAGGTCACCAACATCCCAACAGGCTTTCACCAATCTCATGGAGACACGGATTCACGTATCGCTACACATGATTGAGGCTTTAGCCTAATTTCTCCGGGTCGGTTTTGTTCCTGTCATTCAGCGGCTGTCGTTCGCCTGGAAAGTACAAGTGAAAAAAGGTGTAGCGCTGCTCTCTATGTTCTCAGCGCGGGGCAGTATGCTTGCCAGCGCGAGGACTCGCATATATGTGTCTAAATGTGCTTTGAAGTGGGTTCTAGAAGGAGCGTGGACAACCGTCGGGGGAAGTTTATTCCATGTAGCAACTACCCGAAATGAGAAAAATTTTCCCTAACGAAATTGTGATCTGAGGTTGAGAATCTGCTTAACATGTCCCCGCCGTGTTTGCTGCGCCAACGATGGAAAACTGTTGGCCAGTCCTTGTTCAATCAGGGCATAAGTAAAAAATCGGTCTCCTCTGAGGTGACGATACTCCACGGGATAGGGGTCAAGCACCACTGGACGCATTTCATATTCCACGAATTTAAGGCCGATATCCATTTCCGTAGCAGCTCACTGGGCACGCTCCGTGAGTGTTACGTCCTTCTTGCGTCCTGAGTGGAAAACTTGGTTGGATTATTCAAGAAGCGGTCTGACTTCGGCCCCATAGTGTATATGGAAGTCCACACGATTAATACGGGAGAAGGTGCGCCGAATCATCCGCAGAACTGCGAGGGCCTTTTGAGCGCTTCCTCATGGTGCTGTGAGAAGGATATGTCTGAAGACTGTCAGATACCCAAGATTTTTTGGAATCTATCTTCGTAAGTTTTATTCGGTCCGTTCTAACCATGCACGACAAAGGGGTTCGCTTATTCTCCTCCGAATGGCATGGACGCACTTTTCGTCCTTCGGAGGAAGGCGCCGGCCCCACGATCACTGCTTTGCAGCCGCTGCATCCATTTGCTGGGTGCTGGCATTAGAACTCCAGGATTTCAAGTCGTCCGCAAAAATATAAATGAACATAAAACGAACGTATTTAAGGTCGTTGACGAAGCTTTGAGGAACTCCGATGAAGACCGGCGCCGGAAAACTGTAGGTTGAGACTACTTTCCTTCGAAATGTTCCGTCTGGTAGGACCGCCTTAATCAAGTGTGGACGTTTTCCTTGAATCCCTTGAGACTCGGGTTTGTGGAGCAGTGGGACGTGTGGGACTCGACCGAATGCTTCCGAGAATTTGAAAAATATGGCAGTCAATATGAGTCCTTCGTCCTTGGCTTGGGTTAAGCTGTCCACAAATACGAGCATGTTTGACACGCAAGAACGGTTTGGGAGAAATCCGTGTTGAATTGGAGACATCGATTTGTTGGTAGTAATGTGACCTAGGATGGCTCGCTTCAGAGTGCGATCCACCACCTTGCACGGTACGCTAGTGAGAATAATAAGCCTGTAGTTGTTGAGCGATAGTCGGTCACCAGTTTTGTGGATTGGCGTTATAATCGATTCCTTCCAGGCAGAGGGAAGGCAGCCTTCGCTAAGCGACCAACGAAACACCAGGTATAAATGATTTGCCAGTGTAGACGATGGTTCCTTCAAGATCCTTGGGTGGACCCTGCCGGGCCCCGACGCGCAGAATGGGTTGAGCTTGTAAAGAGTTAACGAATGCCCTACTCCGTAAAGACCAATGCGGTTAAATGTCGTTCGTAATTACGCCACGACAAGAGTGAATGTAACAAGGACGCTAGAGATTGGTATAGACCTCAGATACCCTACTATGTCACTCATGGGTTCCGCGTTCCTGTTCTTCAAGGTTGGCTTATTTCTGTGGCGATGTCCCATGAATTTAAACAGCACATTTCTGTTTTTTTCGGGCGAGCTTCAGAATGGTGGCTTGTTTTCGTATTTTTGATTGGCGTATCCGCATTTTACGAAATGCCAGCTCATCT